TCTCCTCCTCTCTACCAGCTGCTGCTGTTCCTAATCCTTCCTGGTTAGCCTCCTCCAGCAGTTCCTCCATCGTTTTTGCTGTCTCTGCTGACTCTTGGCTCAAGCCTTTCCACTGGGGATAAGTGACATCCTCATATAGAAAGTAGTATCCCGAGTAATCAGCACCTTCCCAGTCTCCACGCCCTTCACCACCCAGCCCTTGCAGCATCTCCACAAGCTTTGTGAGTGATGAAGGCGGGTTGCAAGTCAGCATGCCTATCTCCATCTCCCACTCCTTCGGTAGCCCATTGATGATATACCCTATCATTTCTCCCTCGGATTCCGCCACACCCATCTCCTGCAGATCATCGTTATAACTCCGCGCCCTGTTCACGAACTCGATAATACTCTCCTTCTCCAAGCGGTCGCTTTGTTGGTGTCGGTATGACCAAGGTAAACCGTCTCCATATACTCCCACGCCCTTCACAGAGCTTGCTCCAGTCTCCACGCCCTTCACAGAGCTTGCTTCATCATCCTGAAATCTGAGGGCCTGGGGAGCACGCTACCCCAATTGTTACAACCAAGAGGCGTCATGATTCCAACAGCCCACCCAACCACCAACCACAATTGAGTGCGATTGATGGAACTCGGATGAACAAGCGTGACGAGTGCGGGATGACATTTTTCCAGGAGGATTGAGCGGCAGAGTTGTTTGTGTGCGAGGCATGACATGTAAGTGCGGCATAACCTGCAGCAAGAGGTTCACCTTGTGGGATATGGAAGGAGGCCGCGTGGTGAATGGATGGAAAGCACGGGAGGGATGCAGCATGGGAAGGCATGCAGCATGGGCTGGGATGCAGCATGAGGTGGGATTGAGCATGGGGTGGGGGGATGCACCATGAGGTGAGAAGCAGCATGGGGTGAGATGCAGCATAGGGTGAGATGCAGCATGGGGTAGGATATAGCATGGGGTGGGATACAGCATGGGATAGGATACAGCATGGGGCAGGACACAGCATGGGGCAGGACACAGCATGGGGTAGGACACAGCATGGGGTAGGACACAGCATGGGGTAGGACACAGCATGGGGTAGGACACAGCATGGGGTACGATACAGCATGGGGTACGATACAGCATGGGGTAGGATACAGCAAGATGTGGGATGGGATGCAGCATGAGTTGGGATGGAGCATGGGGTGGGGGGACGCAGCATGAGGTGCGAGGCAGCATGGGGTGAGATGCAGCATGGGAGGGGAATGCAGCAAGGGTTAGGATACAGCATGGGGGGGGGGGGGGATACATCATGGGGAAGGATACAGCATGGGAGGGGTTACAGCATGGGGTGGGATACAGCATGGGGTAGGATACAGCATGGGGTGGGATATAGCATGGGGTGGGATACAGCATGGGAGAGCGGGAGAGATTATGGATGAGAAGGTGAGCAGGAGAGCAGGAGAGCGGGAGAGCGGGTGAGCAGGAGAGCAGGAGAGCGGGTGAGCAGGAGAGCGGGAGAGCAGGAGAGCAGGAGAGCGGGAGAGGAGGATTGCAGGCGAGCGGGTGAGCAGGAGACTGGGGGAGCGGGAGAGCAGGAGAGCGGGTGAGCAGGAGACTGGGGGAGCGGGAGAGCAGGAGAGCGGGTGAGCAGGAGACTGGGGGAGCGGGAGAGCAGGAGAGCGGGAGAGCAGGAGACTGGGGGATCAAGTGAGCAGGAGTGCGGGAGAGCGGGAGAGCGGGCGAGCCGTAGAGCGAGAGAGCGAGAGAGCGAGAGAGGGATAGAGCGAGAGAGCGAGAGAGCGAGAGAGCGGGAGAGCGGGAGAGCGGGAGAGCAGGAGAGCGGGAGTGCATGAGAGCAGGAGAGCAGGGGAGTGGGAAAGACAGGGGGAGCGGGTGAGAGGGAGAGTGGGAGAGCGGGACGGCTGGAGAGCGGGAGAGCAGGGGGGGGGGTTTGGTTGGATAGCAGGAGAGCGAGAGAGCAGGAGAGCGGCAGAGCAGGAGAGCGGGAGAGCAGGAGATCGGAGAGCAGGAGAGCGGGAGAGCAGGGGATGCAGGTGTGGTGGGGAGATGGGGGGGGAGAGATGAGGGCAATATGGGAAACACGGAGGTGACAGGCAAGGGGGGGTTGCTGCCACACCCACTCTTGCTCCTGTATGCTTGGAAGGACAGAGAATAGAAGGGGAGGGAAGGGGGTAAGGGGGGAGTGGGGGATTGAGGGAGGGGTGGGATGGGAAGGGCCGGAGAGAGCAAAGCGAGTCGCAAGGAGGAGGAGGCAAGGGACGCAAGGGGGTGGAAGAGAGAGCCCAGCTGCCACGCCCACTCTTGCTGCGGCTGCACGCTTTGAAGCACGCACACAGGAGGGGGAGTGGAAGGAAGGGGGTGGGGTGCGAGGGAGGGGTGGGGTGGGAGGAAGGGGAAGAGCGAGCAATGCGTGGCGCACGGAGACAAGGGATGCAGGGGGGTGGAAGAGATGGCACAGCTGCCACGCCCACTCTTGTTGCGGCTGCACGCATGGAAGATGCAGGAGAGGAGGTGGAAGGGATGGTGCATGAGATGGGAGGGAGGGGTGGGGTGGGAAGGGGGAAGAGAGAGCAAAAAGAGACGCAAGGAGGAGGCAAGTGAGGGGGGGGGAGGGGGGGGGGTTCGTGCTGCCACGCACACTCTCGACTGACACATTCTGCATGCTCCGCGCTACGTCAACTCCGTCGCTTCGCGCGCATTCCCATCCGCCGCTCCGCGCATCTTCAACCCCGCTATTTGTGCAGCCCGCGCTAGAGTGGTCCGCTTGACCTTCTCGCGTGACTGCTTTCACGTGATCCTGTCCCGTCTGCGAATTCCGTGCGACCTCTGCGACGACTGCGACTGCTGGTGATCCTGGCTAGACTGCAGCGCCGCTTGCTGCGACTCTTGCGACGAGCCCGTGGGGTGCGAAGGAGCACCCGCTGCGACGAAATTGAGGTCGCGGGGCAGCATGGTGCGCATCGTTTTAAGTGAGGCGACGTGCGACAGACGACGTGCAAGTGTGCGACACCTGAGGTTACGTGAGTTGCAGGAGGGACACACGCTTACTGGTCCCTAAGCGAATGCTTTAGGTTGGTTCGGGAGCGACAGGTCACAGGACAGGTGAAGTGGCAGCGGGCGGAACGGCGCGACTCTCGCAAAAGCGATGGCTGGAAAGGGCTACACTAAGAGCGCGTTCTGAAGTTTGGCCGAACAGCCGTCAAAATGCGAATGCTCCACCCTTCTTCACCAAAGCCTTCATCAGCACCCCAACCAAAAGGAGATGGCCTTAAAACCCGCGTGTTTAATTACTCGAGTTTCGTATCTCTGGTTGGAAGATCGCTTGAAGTGCTGCCCGACAGCCAATCCTGTCTTTCCACCTAACCAACCTACCTGTTGTTGAACTGCTTGGCACACTTTTTTTAACTTTCATTCTGGTGGAAACTTGGTGATTTTTTTTTCAAGACAAGTTTCCCACAATTATCTGGAAGCTGGCCATCAGGTGTCGCAGTCCTCTGCGGCCCAGATTGTGTTCTGTCCCATATCGTTGTGTGGATCGCCTGACGATTTGATTTGGCGCGATTCGGTTCCGTTCGCAAATTGTCGCGGCCTGGTCGCCTAGTTTTTCGCAGAAAGGTTGGCCGAAGTTCACCTACCACAACTTTTGCCAGCCAAAACCTCAAACTTTGGCCAAACTTTCGCTGACGTGGCGAGTCGGTCGGCCAAACTTCAACTCGGCCAAACTTCCGAACGCCCTCTAAACCGAATGCAGAACTCACCCCTTAAAAACGCATTTCTTTTGTGCCAGCACGACGTCCGCTGTGTTTGCTCGACGGGAAGGGCGGGGGACTGCGTCTATAACCAAGGAGTGCAGAGTCATCCTCAAGGCACTTAGCATCTTGGTGGGTTGGTGAGATGCGTGTTATGATTTAGAAGATGTCAATGCACTATAACGTGAGAATCCAAGGTCGCTATTGCAATGAAAGCACGAGGCTATATAAGAGTAGACGTAATAGGGCGATAGCCTCGGGACGTGGATAGGTTCGGCAATGAGGCGACACTGTCGGACGCGACTCGAGAAAGGGTTGGGTCGAAAATGTAGGCCGAACGTGCGAGTCGAAGTGTTCGGGTGTACGCGGTAGCGGCCGACTTAGTAAGGAATGGAAATTCCTTACACTATCCCCCCCTCCTAAACGAGTTCGTGGGCACCGGAAACATTCCGACGCTGATAATACGCCGTTAGAATCGGATGTGATTCTAGGTCAGCGAGAGGCACCCAGCTATCGTCTTCGGACGTGCGATCGCGCCAGCGGACGAGGAAATCAACCATCCGTCGGTTCAGCTGCGTTGTGACGCGATGGCCCAGAATCTTTAAGGGCTCGGTTGTCGGTTCTCGCAGGGGCGTCAGTTGCGGTACCCCGTGTTGGCGTGCCACGTCGAATGAACTGGGGACGTTAGGCCGTAAGAGGCTGACGTGGAAGGCCGGATGGTGGCGCCAATCAGCCGGGAGTCGAAGATGATTAGTGTCAGGTGTCAAGTGTCCGCAGAATCTGGGCCGGAGCTTGCTCGGTATCTGCAACCGCAAGTTGCGAGTGTCGAGGAGGACGAGATCGCCCACGTTGTAAGTGACGGTACGGCGATGACGGTCGGCTTGTCGGCTTGCGACCAGGTTGGCTTTCCGAATTGCTTCAACTGCTTTTTCCCGAGCGGCGAGGATCTCTTCAGCAAATTTCTGGGACCGGGGTACAGGTGACTCGATGTTCGGGGTCCGGGTACCACTGGGTCCTGTTCGTAGTTGAGGGAAAATGGGGACTGATGGGTGGTGGCAGAGGTCGCGTTATTATACGCGAATTCTAGCAGCGGAAGGGATTTCTCCCATGTCTGTGGGTCAGTACAGGTAGTCCGAATGAGTTGTTCCATAGTTTGGTTGACTCGTTCGGTTTGCCTGTCATTCTATGGGTGGTAGGCGGAGGAAATCTGTAGTTTGGTGCCGAACTGCTCCCACAAGTGGCGCTAGAAATTCGACGTGAATTTCGGGTCTCGATCTGAAATGATGGCAGAGGGCAGGCCATGCAGTCGGATGACGTTCGTGAGGAACAGCTGCGCGGTTTGTTCGGCTGTGATTGTCTGTTGGCAGGCGATGAAGTGCGCCATTTTCGTGAGTCGGTCAACGACCACGAGGATGGCGTCGTTTCCGCTGGGGCCGGCCGGCAGTCCTGTCACGTAGTCCATCGTGACTTGTTGCCAGGGTCGCTCGGGCGGATCCAACGGCTGTAGTAGTCCGGCTGCTCGCAGATGCGACGATTTCATAATCTGGCAGGCAGTGCAGGAGGACACGTGCTTGCGCACGTCATCGGCCATGTTCGGCCAGTAATAATTCCGCTGCAGCATCTTCGTGGTTTTATCGACGCCGAAATGTCCTAAGGTAGGGTTGTCGTGGGATTCCTGGATTAGAAGGGTACGGAGTAATTCGTACCCGGGTACCCAGATGCGAGAAGTACAGCGCTTATGAAAATAAGGTCCGGTGGCGGTGGTATGCTGTTGATGGATAGCAGAGCGGAAGAAGGGATCGGTCTTGTAGCCGTGGGTGAATAATCCGGTAGGTAATGGGTTGGTCTGGGCGACTAGTATGGCGGCGGTATGGGCAGTAGGGCGAGTAAGGGCATCGGCAATATTATTGGCACCCCGTTTGTAGATGATGGTGTAATGGAAATTTGACTCGAGGAAATCGAGCCATCGGGTCTGTCGGGGGTTGAGATTCGGTTGGGCGTGCAGGTACTATAAGGATTTGTGGTCAGCCCGCACCGTGACGTCAGCGCTTGTCAGGTAGCACCGCCAGGTTTTGAAAGCGTGGACGATCGCCAGCATTTCCTTGTCGTGGACAGTATAGTTTTTTTCCGCGCCCTACAGCTTCCGTAATTCGTAGGCGATTGGCTGTAATCTGTCACCGAAATCCTGTAGAAGAACTGCAACGATGGCGATGTCGCTTGCGACGGTGACGACTTCGGATGGACGGTCAGGATCGGAGATGCGAAGAACGGGCGGCGTCATGAGGGCGATTTTGAGTTGGTCGAATGCAGCTTGCTGCTTCTCTCCCCACCAAAAACAATCGTGATCTTTCAGTCGGTCGGTTAGCGGGGCAGATAATACAGCCATATTTGGGATAAAACGGCGGACGTAGTTGACGAAGCGCAGAAAACTCAGCAGCTCCTTGATGTTGGTCGGCAGCTTCCACTCCTGTATGGTCTTGATTTTTTTGGGGTCGATTTTCACTCCTTCGGTAGATACGACGTGGCCCAAAAACTCCAACTCCTGCTTAAGAAAGTCGCACTTAGATCCTTTCGTGATGAGGCGATTCTTGTGCAGCAGCGTGAAGACTGCATCAAGATCCTGTAAGTGCTGCTCCCTGCTGCGGCTGTAGATTAGGATGTCGTCGAGGTAGATAATCACGCATTTATCCAGGAGTTACCGGAAAACGCCGTTCATGGTCATCTGAAAAGTTGAAGGCGCGTTCGTGAGACCTAATGGCATCACCAGGTATTCGTAACTGTCGTAGCGGGTTCGTAATGCGGTTTTGTGGCAATCTTCGGCGGCGACGCGAATTTGATGGTAACCTCCTCGCAGATCGATTTTCGAGAAGAACTTGGCTCCGCGAAGTTGGTCGAGTAGATCGTCGGCTCGCGGGATCGGATAACGGGACTTGATGGTGATGCGTTTGAGCGCGTGGTAGTCGATGCACATGCGGAATCCTCCATCTTTTTTCGGTGTGAACAGGATCGGGGCGACGTATGGGGACGTGCTGGGCCGGATAAAACCCTTCGTCATAAAGTAATCCAGCTGTTGCTGCAATTCTTAGAGTTCCGGTTGGCTGAGCTGAAATTGTCGCTGTACTGTCAGTTGTGCACCTGGTTCCAGCTCGATGCAGTAGTCTTCAGGTCGGCTTGGCGGAAGTCCGGCGGGTAAGTCGTCCGGGAAAATCTCGAGGTATTTTTGAATCAGGTCTGCTAAATCCGGAGGAACGGCTTTGCACAGCTTCGCGATAACTTCGGCAGTGGTCGGCGACGTCACCTCGCGAAGATCAACGGCGTACGCTGCAGCTCCCGCTTTTATCGCGCGCTTGAAAGTGATTGCGTGGACTTGAGTGCTTCGCATTCGGGGTCCCGTCCATTTCGGTAAATCGCGATAGATCCCATCGAGCTTGATGCTGCAGCTGCCCGTCGTCCAGTCGATCCTCGGGTTGTACTGTCGCAGCCAGTCCCGTCCCAGCAGCACGTCGCACCCGTCGAGTGTAATCGCCAGCAGCCCCATCTGAAATTTTACGTGCTCGCCACAATGGAAACTGACGTGCTCGACCCACTCTCGTATGGCCAGCGGTGTTCCATCCACCAGTCGTGCGTCAATCTCGGATAGACATTTTTTTAAAGGGATACCCTTTTTTTTTGCTCTGTCCAGCTGTATGAGACTGTGACTCGCGCCTCCATCCACGAAGATTTTCAACAACACCCCGTTGACTTTACCCTCCACCAACACAGGGTGATCAGCAGTTTCGTCCCTTTTATTCGTCCGGGTCCGGTCGATTGCCGCAATCGGGATCACGATCCAGTGGGGACTGTGTAGCTCGGGCAAAGAAGCCTGCCCGTCAGTAAGGGGCCCGGTATTTACTGACACGACCCATTTCCCGGTCGCTCCTCCGGCTTCTTCCGCATAGAATTTTGGATGGCTATGAACTCTTGGCAGTCCTGTTTGATGTGACCCGGTCGGCCACAGTGGTAGCATAGCCCCGTATTTCGCAGAGCAACTGCGTAAATATCCACTGCGTCCATCCCTTTTATCGTGGCACGCTGGTACTGTTCTCGAGGGCGACCTCCGTCGTAGAAGTTCTTCCCGGCTTCGTGAGCGAATCAGCGGCTTCGGTGAGTTGGATGAAGTCTTGTAACCGCTTCGCAGGTCGTTGTAATTTTATTTGGTACTGTATTTCAGGCTTCAGTCCGCCCATGTACCTGTCGACCTTCTCCAACTCGTGCATGTAGCCACATCGATCCACCAACGTTAGGAATGACGCGGTGTAGTCATACACAGATCCCAGCTGCTTCCACATGCGTAGAGTCTCGCGCGCTTTGTCTGAGTCAGGGGCGTGCTCAAACCGCTTGCGAAGCTCCGCGCACCACGTTGCCCACGTGCGAATGTGAGTTGCACCAAACAGTAAGTCTGCCTCGTCTTCGTCGCCGAATTCTTCGGACCACTCATGCTGTCCTTCTGTGCGAGTTGCCGCGGAGTCAACGATGACCTTCCACCACTGTAGGGCGGCCCCTTGCAGCAGTGTCAACGCATGGCTGATCCGCTTCTGATCGTCTCGGATGCCCCCCGCGTTAAAGTAGATATTCATGGCGAATATCCACTGCCGCACCGTCACGCCTTTATTAGCTGGGTCGAAAGGAGCGGGTTGCTGATATCTCACACCGCCACTTGTCGAGCGCAGGGCTGTTGCCGCTAGTCGTGCCAGCTCCATTGGCGTCGGTTGCTGCTCACCCGCCACGCTTCGTGCATCGTCGTCCAGCTCCTCTGAACGCTTTTCCTGCGCCTGGCGAAGTCGTTGGTTCTCGTCACGGAGGTTGTTGACGACGCTTGTCAAATTATTCAACTCCTCTAGTAAAGCTTGCAGGTCCACAGTTTCCTGGGCAGAGTTCGCAACAGTCGAGGTCGTCTGTTCCTCAACCGTCGAGTCTACCGGGGCCATGGCCGTCAGGACGGGGCAGAAACTAGCGCACACGCTGTAGTTGTTGACGTAAAAATATTTACGATCGAAGACAACTGCTGTGCACCCGTGTTAATCCCCTCTGACCACCCTTAACTCATTCAATGGGAAAACGGAAGGTTCTTGGAAAGCTCGGACTCTGATACCAGCTGTTATGATTTAGAAGATGTCAATGCACTATAACGTGAGAATCCAAGGTCGCTATTGCAATGAAAGCACGAGGCTATATAGGAGTAGACATAATAGGGCGATAACCTCGGGACGTGGGTAGGTTCCGCAATGTGGCGACACTGTCGGACGCGACTCGAGAAAGGGTTGGGTCGAAAATGTAGGCCGAACGTGACGAGTCGAAGTGTTCGGGTGTACGCGGTAGCGGCCGACTCAGTAAGGAATGGAAATTCCTTACAATGCGCATTTTGCATTGCTGACCCTGCGTCGTATGGTTGTCGCTCGGCCAATCACGTAGTTGCACCTGCCAAGTTTACCCCTGTTATGGGCCAACAGGGTTACCAGGTGTCAAGGGTGTTGGCGTGTCCAGGGTTTGCCGTTTGGAAGGTTCAAGGTCCTTTGAGCCTTGAAGTTATTGTACACTTGCGCTTTAAAGCGAGCACATAGAATAACTTTATTTTCAAAGTGATTTGAAACTGCTGAGTGGCGAAACCAACCAGCCGATGCACAGAACAAACTGCGTAACCCAGTTGGGGCGAGAGGGGGGGAAAAATTAGCAGAGGGGGGTTTCTGATTGGCCAAGCGACAGCCCTGCGACGCAGCTAGCTCGCCCAGCAGAAAAGCTTCTCCCTGCCACCAAGATCTAAATCTTCTTGGTGCGGATTCTGTACTCACTGACTATGGCTGTAACGCATGGCCTCTGCACAGTACGCGGGCCTAGAAACAATCGTCCCAACTACCTTCCACGAATTGGCTACCTACCTACTCTAGGTAGCGCGAGATGGGAAGGAAGGGTTGGGAGGGGAGGATTGGGATTGGTCGATACTTGGGACCAATCAGATTTTAGTTGTACAGATTGAGTTAGAGAAATACCCAACGCACGCGATGGTTGGATTTGCGACCAATTACAGTGGCGGAAACAATTGTCCGTATGTTTTGCATTATTTTGGGTTTTTAGGCTTGAACACCACTATACATTAAGCCTTAATTTTTAATGGTGGTACGATTTTGGAGGGACACATATTGGATGTGTTCACAACACAAATATCCAGAATAGTACATTTGATGTAACTCATATCCCAAAAGACATACAAATGGTACATCCGGACAAATAGTTCCAAGCAGAGAGAGCAAACTTCAAAAGTGCGTTTCTAGTTCCTAGCCCACCAACCTTTGGTCTTGATCACCGCCCGCACCCTCTTAGGCATGCTGTCGATGAGGCTAGAGCAAACCTCGGCATGGATCTTCTCCCATTTTTCTTGGACCAGGTCTTAAAGCTCCAGCATTGTAGTGGAAGGCCTTTTATGCTTGGCCAGCTCCCTTTTCAGGTAAGCCCAGAGGTTGAGTGTTGATGAGAAAGAAGGCCACTCTAGGGCTCCATACTCATGTTCTCCGAGTCATTCCTGCACTAGGCATGACAAATTCTTGGGGTCATTGTCCGCACCGAAATGACCTCATAGGGTAAAATGCTATAGAAATGGAGGGTCAATTCGATTTCATCATGCAAAATGCCCTCAAACAGAGGCCTGTCCATGTGCCCGTCAATATTGCATATGAACCCCACCCCCGCACATGCCACACATCCCCACATCATCACCAATCCTTGTCCCCATGATTTACCATCTGTTTGATTTGGTGGAGCTGCAGGGTTATGCCTTCACGAATCTAGGCAAACGCGCGGCAATTGGAGCTGAAGCAGTTGATGTTGGTCCCATTTAACCAGATTACATGCTTTCGAACACTAATTGTCCACCTAGCATGCGACTCCACGAATTGCAGCCGGAACCTGATATTTATCCAGAACATTCATGACTTCTACGAGTGCTGCACCGTGACTAGACCCACGGACCCTGGTGTTTTTTTTAATGGTGCAAGGGTGCACAATCAACCTTACAACGTTACCCTCAGTTTCGCGGTGTCTACACTAGATTTGGCCACTCTATTCATGATTTTTCCCTACAATGGTACGACGAAGATGATCCATGATAACATGATGCCGACTGGCTAATTGCATCTTTGGCCATACCTCAGCATGGCTAGTCTCAGAGATACCATTCAACCCAAAATCGTTCACAATACTCTTGCCTACGCCCAATCTTTTCGCGATTTTTCAGTGCTCACCCCCTTCTGCGAAATGGTGGGTCCAGGAAGAGTGTAAGAAGTTCCCTGCCAAGGTTTGTACTAACCTCGTAGGCAACATGCCTAGGAGGGTGCGGGTGGCGATCAAGACCAAAGGTCGGTGGACTATGTACCGGAAACGGAGTTTTGAAGTTTGCTCTCTCTGCTTGGAACTATTTGTCCGGATGTACCCTTTGTTATCTTCTGGGATATCAGTTAGATCCAATGTACTATTCTAGATTTTTGTGTTGCTAATACATCCACTATGTGCCATTCCCAAAACGTACCACCGTTAACCATTAAGGCTTAATGTAGAGTGGTCTTAAATCCTAAAAGCCCAAAATAATGCAAAAAAGACAAATGTTTCCCCCACTGTATAATCAGGGAGTTGGTTGGCAATGCCAACTCAACTCGAATATTCCTATGCTGTACACCATATGCTAATCTGAATGCATTGTTGTAAACCTCTCATTGGTTGGAAATCCAACCCTTTGCCACATAAGCTAGCTCACCTCCTTGGAGCCATGGAGGAGGTTCAGCAGCTCCTAGGAGTCATTGGAAGGGGTCTGGGCTGAGAAGGTCATTCTCAACTTCCCACTCTAAGAAATCAATCTTGAAATGGGATTTTTCTCTAAGTCATGAGCTCTCCTCACACGCCTTCATACTCTAGTAGCTTCTAGTGTGGTCTCCTAGGGGAAACCCTACCCAACCAGAGCCTCAACTACTATTCTCCAAGAGCATTCCTAAAGCTTAGGCTACTTCTTAGAGGGGGTTCTTCCTAAGTACAACGCTAGGAGATCGCTAGTTGACTTTGTACTTCATTATTATATCCTAGGATCTTGGATGTTGGTTTTGACTTCAACCCTTGTTTGCCCATGCTATAAGGGCAAGGGTTGTTATAATGGCTCCTTCCCCGCCATTTACGCCCCCAAAAACAGAGCCAACCACCAATTTTATAGTGTGTGCTTATAGTGCGGTTTATTAGAGACGGAGCCCGCATGCCCCTGACCTACGGCTTCACCTTGAACCCCACATTCGCAACTCCGCTTTCCCGCTTCCCTGCTATCCCGCTTCCAAAACTCCCCTGCTTTCCCACGTTCCCGCGTCCCAGCTTCCCTGCTTTCTTGTATTCCCGCGTCCCAGATCCCCTGTTTCCTAGCTGCTTCACCGCGACCCCGCTTTCCCGCTTCCTAGCTTCCATGCTTTCCCGGCCTGGAAGGGCATCTGCTGCCCGTTTCCAGCGCCGTCACCCATCGCTGCCCGTTTGTCACTTCCCGCTGCTGCCACTGCGCACTAACCGCAGCCCGCGAAACGCTTTCCCCTCTCCCCGCTCGCGCGTCCACGCCCTACTTCCCACTGCGCTCATCCCTGCCTTTCCCCTAGCATATCCCTGCCATGGTTTGATATGTGTTTTTATCCATGGGATGGCATGGTTGGGCACGGCGCAGCATGGCATGGCATGGCGCGGCATGGCATGGTGTGGCATGGAATGGCACTGCACGTGATGGCATGCATCAGATGCGCATTGGGGTTCACAGGGCAGTGGTGTGAGGCGGGCTCTCGTCATCCCCGGTTCAGACAAGGGGGGGAAGGTGAGCTCAAACAAGGGGGGAGGTGAGCTCAAATAGGGGGGGAAGGTGAGCTCAGACAAGGGGGGAAGGTGAGCTCAGACAAGAGGGGGAAGGTGAGCTCAGACAACGGGGGAGGTGAGCTCAGACAAGGGGGGAAGGTGAGCTCAGACAAGGGGGGAAGGTGAGCTCAGACAAGAGGGGGAAGGTGAGCTCAGACAAAGGGGGGAAGGTGAGCTCAGAAAGGGGGGGAAAGTCGGTTCAGACAAGAGGGGGAAAGTGAGCTCAGACAAGGGGGGAGGTTGTTGGAGGTGGTTCGCACTTGCCCCTAGTCAACGCGTGGCAGCTCGAACAGATGGCGTAAGCTAGGTGGCAGTGTGGCAGCGCTAACAGGTGGTGTAAGCTGAAGACTACATACGGGTGTGCTA